CCACATAAGTACAATTACCTCAGTTTGAGATGAAGCATGGAAAGCCAAAGCCAGTTATCTGTTCTTACACATTACCATAGATCCTACATAAATGCTCTCTTGTTTTCCTGCAAATAATTTTAATATCATTTTCTTGTGAGGTGTGGTGTCTCAAGGCACTATGCTTTAGTAACTATAATTGTTTCAACTTAAGGGAGTTTTTTTTCTGATCTCACAGAAAAAAATTCTTCATTTTAGGAAATTGGCTGTCATTTGTTCAGTGATTCCTTGCTATAATCTTTGGGCTTACATATGGTAGCCATGTTTAAAATCTAGTTGCAGCTCTATAACCGTACTTTTAATGAACACCAATAAGTCTGTAATATATTATCATACCAAGTAATTTGTTCACATGACAAATTTACAGTGTGACATTGTTTGTTTTAAATCTGCTTATCATTAAAGTATTTTTGTGAATACAGAAAGGTAGTCACTGCGATTCAAACATCAAAGTTTATCATATATGATTCATCAGCACCAATTCTGTGCTGGGAATCTGTCCAGAATGTACCTGCTGTACTTTCTTATAGCATTGCAATTTGATATTATTTTATCCATGTAAATGTCTGTTATATGCAAATGAAGACTACTCACTGCAAGTCTGGTGTGCTTACATTAAAGTATATGCAAAATCCCAACACACTCATTAATTTTCATCTTAACCTGCCTTCTACCCCTGGTAGTGTTTCTTGTCACTAACTTAAAACTTTATTGAACACACTCAAAAAATTATTTCTAGATATGCACAACACTGATTCTACTTTATTTTTCTGTTACATGAAGGGAAACTATTTACACTTATTTTATATTTTGTGTTCTTTACATAGCAAGGAATCAAGGTACAAAGCATCACGCCTAAGACAAAAGTTCTGTAATTTATTTTGGCTTCTCAGTGCCAGTCTTTTAAATTTATATAAAAGTGCTACATAATATAGTATAGTTTTATTTCAAATAAATCATTCATGAAGATCAACATTTCTGTGGATATCCAAATTTTTTATTGTAAATGTCATCTACAAATGTTCTGCTTTTGTACTGTGAAGTTGTATGTAGCCGATTCCAGTCAAATATTATAATGATACACAACATGGTAAACCAATGTAGGCTTCACATAATAGAAACTCAGCCACATACCAGAAGAATTACTGTATAAAATGGGAGAGAAACTACCTTAAACTGTAGATAGAAAGGAAACTTTAGTGGGCATCAGGTGTTACGAGGCTTCATTGAAAGCTGATAAGAATTCAAGGACAAAAAACGGGTGAGATTATTAAAACAGCTTAAATGCAACTGAGGATGTTTGTTAACAGCTCACAAAATGTGCATGCATGTGGCAAATATACTAGGCTACAACCTCTTCTTAGTTTCCACTTATGTTTCTTTTCATGGGATTTAAAAGTCTAATAAACTGTACGGAACATATTTTTGTGTCTGTCGTCGATGAAACGTTTGTTCTGTACAATTCCAAAGACTTCAAAGTACCTGAAATGTAAACATAAACAGGGACATAATAGCTGCTAAAAGTAACCATAATCTAGATGCATTGCTCATTTATCATTTGGTATGCATCATCATATGCTTCTTTTGCTTTCATATTTAAAATTTTTAATGTGCAACACTTAGCAGCAAAGCATCTGTCTGCATTATGGATATATGTATCATGCAAGACTTCATGCCACAAATGCCCCTTTGTTTTAATATATTTGAGTGGCATGACATTTGTTGCTCTTTCTTGAATGTAAGTTTAGTCATATTGTAAATAAGAATTTTATTATTGGGAATGGTTATCTGAATCTTTATTTTATATGCTAGTATTTTTTTTTTTGCACCATAAAATATTTAAACACATTTTAAGAACTATAATATCTGATTTAGATATATTAATGTATTATTTTTTAAAAATGAGCAGGGTTATAATTTAAAGATTAACTTGTATTTAAAGATTTTATTATATTATTATAAATACAAAATAAAATATTGTTGGCTTAAAAAAATTATTTTGGTTTCATATTACTAGAGCAAAATCTGAGTGACTTTAATTTTGTAATATTTTTGCACACATTGATAAGGCAAATAAATAATTATGCAGAGAGAAATGTATAAATTGCAGGTACATTTGAAAAACTACATGGAGAATGGAAGA